CTGATTCAATGGATCAACTTTCCCAGATCTGATATTCCCCCAGAAAAAGCAGAACAGATCCCTCTCTTTTAAGATTTGATATTCCCTGAGTGACAGCGGAACAAGTCTACCCTGATTCAATGGATCAACTTTCCCAGATCTGATATTCCCTCAAAAGAAGTGGAACAGATCCTCTCTTTCAAGATTTGATATTCACTGAGTGACAGCGGAACAAGTCTACCCTGATTCAATGGATCAATTTTCCCAGATCTGATATTCCCTCAGAAGAAGCGGAACAGATCCTCTCTTTGAAGATTTGATATTCCCTGAATGACATCAGAACAAGCCTACCCTGATTAAATGGATCAACTTTCCCAGATCTGATATTCCCTCAGAAGAAGCGGAACAGATCCATCTCTTTCAAGATTTGATATTCCATGAGTGATAATGGAACAAGTCTACCCTGATTCAATCTTCCCTGAAGAACAGTGGAGTGGATCAACATCCCCATATATGATATTCCCTGAATGGAAGCGAAACAAATCCTTTATCATATTTTAAACTATGAAGTTGATTGGACGAAAAACACACTGTCTCTTCGTCTTTGCCCTATTCTTGTTGACACAAGAATAAGCAAAGAGGGGCAGCTGTCGACACTAACTTTTTGACTCGTCTTTTAATACATTATTATTATTATTATTATTATTATTAATGTTACATATTATATTTTACAGGCCCAAGACCCAGTTACAAATATCAACCCAATTACAAGATGTTGGTTCAAGCCCAAGTGTGACCTGGTTCAGTGACCCGACTTAGTGAATTTAGGATTTGCTAAAATCCTAATCCTAAAGCAAACTACCAATGTCATCCACGCATGCCTCCCACTGCAGTGCCAAGCCAACATAAAGCCATCACCAAATACTTCTAGAAGCTGTCATCATCTGGCCATCTCAGCAAATGTGACTGGATCAAAACCAAAGTCAACAAAAAAATATTATAAGTTTACCTAAACCTTTGAAATAAAAAGAAAATCCCAAAAATTACGGGATTAAAGATACATGCTTCAGCACTAATCGAATAAGGTGGATTCGAAACAACCATTAATAAGGGAAAAATTCAACGGGGAATGGACCATTAGGAATGAAGAAGAGAGAAGAAAAAAAAAGAAAAAACAGGAGAAACAAATTGTAAAAAGGGAAATGGGGTTTTTTTCTACCAGAAAAATAAAAAAACAGAGATATTTGACTCCCAATATTCAATAGTCAATCAGTGTAAACAAAGGGTTTCACTCCCTTCATTTTCGAATTATCAGAAATCAATAGCAGTTGATTGAGGTATATTTTCATTTTTGAATTCATTTTCATCTTCAATTTCTGAAGTGTGTGTGTGTTTATTTTTAAAAACAAGAGTAAAAAAACAACAACGAGACTGATGCATACCAAACATGTTTTTTTTAATCCTAACAATCTATGAATATAAAATCAGCAAACATTCGGGTACCCAAAATAAGATTCGAACATTTTTGTTGGAGATATATTTTTATTTTTTTTCGAATTAAAAAAAAGCCTTGCATGTAAAACAATAAAGAAAAAAATAGAGTCCTTACCTCGTTTTAAGACTTCTCACCGGTGATGAGGGGAGTTAGATTGAACATTTAAGGTATTTTTAGTTTATTTTTTAAGGTTTTAAGACTAAAAAAAATATTTTGAAAGAAAAGATGGAAGTCTGTTGCATAAACAAAGGGGGAGAATGAATTTGGTTTAGCCAAAACTTTGTAATAGTATATATATATATATATATATATATATATATATATATATATATATATATATATATATATATATATATATATATATATATCAAAATTATGTAGTTTTGGAGATTAGGGTTCCCTCCTTATGTTGCATGATAAATCGCGTGAGTGAAGTCTCTGAGTTCAAGGATATTTCATTCTGGTACTCAATTAAAGTTTTCAAAATTTATAATTTTGCCTCTCACTTTTTGTTCGCATTTATTTTGGTCACTATAGACAATATATTTTATTTTCGGCATGTAATACTGAATTTTTATATTTGGTCCTAAATGTATAGGTTTATTACATTTTTAGTGCTTGTAATATGTGATTTTTATATTCTGTGTTGTGTTAGTTATTTATTTCACTTTTGAGACATTAAATTTTCAGTTTTAATTATTTAGTCCCTCATGTTGTGTAATATTCTATTGTGACTTCATTACTTGCTTCTATGTTAGTCGCAAATTAATTTTGATACTTTATTATATTTACACTAATATCTTTGTTATAAATAATTGTTTCGTGTGCATGTACATATACATTATATTATTTAAGTGTTTATATATATATAAATATATATATATATATATATTATTATCCATATTATGTAATATATATATATTATAGTATATATGCATAACATGCTTAATACGTAAATTTTCAGATTGATATTTAATTATTTTTATTAAATACGAATATATATATATATATATATAATTTACGTATGTTATTATTTTTATTAAACATCAATCTTTGAATACATATATATAAAGGTATTTATGAAATTTATATTATAAGTTTATTTTTTGTTGTGTTAAATATTTTTGTACTCTTATATGTAACATCTTTTATGTATTTATATTTTACGATTATATTTTACATGTATGAATATTTAATATGTTAATTAATCCCATATTTGATTATTTATTATGTGCATGGCTAATATATATATATATATATATATATATATATATATATATATATATATATATGTTAATATTGTTTTAGATGGTTGATAATTCAGTATTTGTACAAAATCATTGCTTTTGTTTGTATGTATATTAGTTCATTTTAGTCATAATTAATCTCTCATGGTATCCTCATAAGCATTGCTTGACTCAAATTGAAATAAATTGACTAAGGGTAATATTTGATCATCTTAAAATTATCAAAAGAAACTTTCTAATACGTGAATATTTAATCCATTTTAAAATATAACATTAAGTATTAATACTAGAACTTACACTTAAAATTTGAGCTCCTAGATTCCTTAATTTTCATAATTTGACACTTTAAGTTAGAAAAGGCCTTAATTTAGTTTTAGTTTTATTAAGACAAATAAAATTTTGTTTGATTGTATTGTTTTTACAAATCTAAGGCACTATTCACTTATTAATGAATTAATAGTATATCTCCCGCGATCGTGCTCAGGGGGTGACTACTGGTAATTCCTTGAATAAGTCGACATCATTTTTAAAACCACATCATGTTTTCTAAAAATGAGGCAATATTCGGTTATTAGGCACAATAGTTGATCTCCCGTATTTACGCTCGGGGGCGAATGCTATTGGTCTCAATAAATGAATACCCTTTTCAAACTTTGCATCCTTAATGATTTTTAAATTAAATAAAGATCAAACTCAAAATTTCCAATTTTAAATATAGGGTAATCGACTAGGTACCAATTTTTGGGTGCTTGTGGGGATGTTAATCCTTCCCCACGCGTAACTGACTCCCGAACTTGATTTATGGATTTTCGCAGACCTCAAAACTCGGTATTTTGATAAAGACAAAATGTTTTATTAAAATCATCCGGTTTTTATGGTGTTCCAATCTCACCTTAAATTATTGGTGGCAACTCCTCACCTTTCAAAACAATTTTCAAAGAGGAAAACCCCCGAGTCGGTATCGGTCTTTTCCCTCTGGGTGAAAAAATAGGTTACGACACCAAACTCGTCATTTTTCGTTAAAAATTTGACGATCGTTTGAGTTTGCCTAAAGCTTTGCCTTTCCTTCTTTGTAGTGCACTCTTTTCCTCCAAATAGGATCTAGGAGATTTTTAACGAGGTTCGCACCACAACTAAAGATTAAACGCGTTATGATTATTGAATAAAATCTTATTTGCTAAGAAAAAAATAATAATTGAGCTAAAGAAGAGATCGAGCGCTGAAGAAATTCAATTTGAATAAATCGGATCTTTTATTCTCTTAATTATCAGATACATCTATTTCATATTCTGTTTTAAAGCAAAGGTGGGCTAAAGCTTTTGTTGAAGCGCAGGAGGCAGTGTATTTAGGTAAGCAACTTGGACTTATGCTTGGTAGTCCTGAAATTGTGATTCTTTAGAAGCTTTTGTCGTTAGTGATGTTTGAGGTTAATGTCGGTTGAATTATGTGGGTTGTGTTTTTATCCTTGGTTGATGTGGTATGTTGAGGTGAAATTGTTAGGTTTTTTGATGAATTTGGTGGTAGGGTTGATTGGCTGGGGTTTTTGTCGGTTATTTAGTAATCCGTAATCCAAGTTTTGGAGGTTTTCGACGAGTTTGTGTTGGTTCTTCAGGTTATTATAGTGGTTTTGGTTCCTTCTTTTAGCTTTTCTCATTGTTCGTTCTGGAGTTGTTGGAATAGCATATTGGCGTTGTGGTTGATCTATTTGTGGCCAGTATAGCTCCCTTGTTATCCATGATTTAGTTTGAAGTTCGAGGTTGTTCTATTATTAAGACAAAATTGTCGAGTTCCGCTTTGGTACGCAGGAGGTTATGTGGTTAGTTGTTTTGCTGCTCTTCCTTAAGTGTTCTTCTCGGCTGGTTGATGTTTCTGTGTGTAGATGTTTCTGTGTGTAGCTGTTTTCATAACAGCAGGTTAAATGTTTCTTTGTTGTCTCCTGTATCCCAGTCAGTGTTGTTCTCAGGAGCTAGTTTTGGCTTTATGTTCTTTCCACTTCATGGTTCACTCTTTTTCCTCCAATAGGTTTAGGGAGGTTTTTTAATGAGGTCCATGGGATGGTGTATCTTGTATCTTTATCAATACAAAGTATTCATCTTTCAAAAAAATTGAGCTAAAGATGAATTTAAAGACTAAAAAAATCAACGACACAATAAAAAATCAATCTATTCTCCATATAATTAAAGCATCATACAGGACTTAAATTAAAATAAACATTGAAGGACTAAAATTAAAATCAATGGCACAATAAAAAGTCTTTTAATAACGACGAGATATGGAGATCAAGCAGAAGCATCTTCCTCGAGTTTTGCATTCAAGTTTGGTTTAACGCTGCACGCATCAATGACAACAGTTGACTTGTATCCTGGATATGCCACTTTTGCTTGGTTGTTAGCCCTTTTCAGTTTTTCTTCGTAGAACTTCCAATTAATATCGCTGTCAGTAGTAAACTCAGTATACACCTACAATTGAAAGAAAATTAATTTATGTGAAACTTTGTCAAATTGCTCTCAATCTAGTATTGGGGGAAGCCTACTATCATACATTTCCTTTATCACATTACATATAAAAATAAGGGTCAACTAATTTTTTTTGTCAAATTGCTTTATTTATTTGTTAGTCGGGATGGATTCGAGGGACGGGTGGGGTAGTCATCCTCTGAATATTTAAAATTACTATATAATTTAAATTTTTTTATATATTTTCTAATGAAAATTTCTGCCCTTGGAATTTATAAACTTATCCTCTCCTAAAATTTTAGAGGTTCGTCCTCTAACATAAAATCATGAGTCCATCCTTATTTGCTAGTATCAAATTAATAATAAAAAAAAAGGCATGATACCAAAATCAAACCCCAACATTTACTAAAACAGTTATTTTGCCCGCTATTCTTTTTTTTTTTTTGAGCAACTTAGCCCAAATTTAATTTTAGGGCAAAAAGTCCCTTCACATTTGATTGAATAGATTTTAACTCTTATTTTTTTCCTGGCCCATAACATTTCATTTTAGGGGAAAATACTCTTATTTTATAGCATTAATCATTTATTAACTAATGATTTTCATACATAGAGAGATCTTTTTGTCCTAAAATAAAATGTTAACGGTCAAAATGCTCTAAAAATAAAATAGGAACCAAAATGACCAATTGGATAAACGTTAGAGATTAATTTTGGTATTATAAAAAAAAAGAAATAGACAGGATCCATCGAAACTTAATAATGAGTTTGGTGAGAAGGCATAAAAATCGAATTGATGCATACCTTATTGTCTTTATATGCCATATTTTTCCAGACAACAACCCACTTAATGTTCTCTTTGATAACAAACACACTCCCGCCTTTGGTGGATCCGATATTGGAATCGGCTAAATGCTGAAAATATCGCGTCTGGTGCGATGGGACATCCAGCGGCTGGCTTCCGGTTCCATACCAATCTTTTCTGTCAAACCTGCTCAAATCTTGGTCGGTTTGATTGTTAAAATACACCTCTGTATATATTGCAGGACCCAACGTATTGCTTGGAGAAGTCGTTGGATCAATATCTTCATCGAGTTTTGCATTTAATTTTGGCTTAATGCTACTCAGATCAATTACAACAGTTGACTTGTATCCTAGATTAGTCCTTTCTGCTTGATTGGAAGAGTTCTTCAGTTTTTGTTTATATAACTCCCAATTAATAATGCTGTCAGTAGTAATATCAGTATAGACCTGTAGTTGCAAGAAATTTCATTTATGTGAAACTTCGTCAAGTTGTTTTATTTACTTGTTACCAAAAGAATTGGGGGCGGGGGGAGAATACATTAAAACTTAATAATTAAAAAATTGAAGAGTAAATTACACAAATGGTCCCCTAACTAAAGGAATTGTTTTATTGAGTATCTCGGCTATTAAAAGTTATAAAATTGTTACCTAACTATTCATACGTTCCAAACTCGTAATTTTTCGTTAAAAATTAACGATCGTTTGAGCTGGATATTAACATGTTGATTGATATATAATAGTCGTTTGATATTAGATTTTATCATATCCTAGTCAACATGATAACGTCTAGCTCAGATTACCATCAATTTTTTAACGAAAAATGACTAGTTTGAAACATTTTATAACTTTTAATAGTAAGGGGACTCAACAAAGCAACACATATGATAGTTGAGTGACCATTTTGTAACTTTTAATAGTCGAGGGATTCAACAAAACAACACACTATAATTGTGGGACTATTTTGTAACTTTTAATAGTCGGATGACTCAAGAAAGTATCACCCTATAGTCGGGGTACCATTTGTGTACTTTACCCAAGATTGAATTGATGCATACCTTATTATCTTCCTTTGCCATATTCCTCCACGCAACAACCCACTTAATGTTGTCTTTTATGACAAATACAGTCCCACCTGCCGAGGATCCGACATAAGAATCGGCCATGTGCTGAAAATTTAATTTCTCCTGCGATGGAACAACTAATGGCTGATTTCCAATTCCATACCAATCAATTTCATCGTCCGTACTCCTGAGGTCTTGGTCGGTTTGATTGCTAAAACACACCTTTGTATGTATTGGAGTGCCCACCTTACTACTTGGAGCAGTTATCGTCCCAGTAACTTCCTCGAGTTTTGCATTCAATTTTGGCTTAACGCTACTCAGATCAATGTCAACAGTCGACTTGTATTCTAAATAAGTAGCTTCGGCATGTTTGTTAGACATTTTCAGTCGTTTTTTGATTTTGCCCCAATCAATAGTGTCGTCTGTAACGATTTCTGTATAGACCTGCAGCAGGAAGAGATGTGATTTTCAGCCTAACCTCAAAACTTAATGATAAATTTGTTTCTATCAAATTAATACCATAAAATAAGAAGAAAAAAAAGAAACGAAAGGATCAATCGGAACTTAATGATAAATTTGGTGCGTACCTTATTGTCTTCTTTGATCATGTTACTCCAAGCAACAACCCACTTAATGTTTTCCTTTATAAGGAACACACTCCCACCTTCCGAGGATCCGACGTAAGAATCAGCCAATTGCTGAAAATATCGTGTATGAAGTGATGGGACATTCAGTGGCTGATTTCCGGATCCATTCCAGTTAATTTCATCATAAGAGCTGAAGTCTTGGTCGGTTTGATTGTTAAAAGACACCTTTGTGTATATTGGAGCTCCCACCTTACTACTTGGAGCAGTTACCGTCCCAGTAACTACCTCGAGTTTTGCATTCAAGTTTGGCTTAACGCTACTCGGATTAATGTCAACAGTCGACTTATATCCTAAATAAGTTGCTTCGGCGTGTCTGTTCGACATATTCAGTTGTTCTTTGATATTGTCCCAATCAATAGTGTCGTCCGTGACGATATCTGTATAGACCTGTAGTAGGAAGAGAAGTGATTTCAACCTAACCTCAAAACTTTAAATTCCAAACATTTTATGTGAAAAATCACTTTTGAGATTAAATTATATTTCTATCCTCAATTATTTAATTTTAATTTACAACATAATATCTAAAATGAACCTTTTATCTTTTCAAAATCATTTTTTAACAACAATACCAAATAATTACATCTCAAAATATACTTTTCAAAAAGACTTTTAAAAGTATGTTTTTACAGCACTTCTCAAAATTACTTTTTAAGAGTAATACCAAACAGACCCTATATTATGAGTAAAGCTATTCGATATGTTTGTTCCTATCAAATTAATACCAGAAAATAAGAAGAAAAAAAGAAACAGATAGGATCAATCAGAACTTACCTTATTGTCTTTTTTGACCAAGTTCTTCCAAGCAACAACCCACTTAATATTTTCCTTTATAAGGAACACACACCCACCTTCCGAGGATCGGAGATAGGGATCCGCCCATTGCTGAAAACATCGTATCCGAAGTGATGGGACATTCAGTGGCTGATATCCGGATCCATTCCAGTTAATTTTATCATACGAGCTCAAGTCTTGGTCGGTTTGATTGTTAAAAAACACCGTGGTACATATTGGAAAACCCCTCTTAGTACGTGGAGAAGCCATCGTCTCCGTTTGTTGTAGTGGTACACTACGAACTCATACATACTAGTTTGCAGCCCAGAAGATGACAAAAGGTTGTTATAACCTTATTGCAAGACTAAATATTTAAATATTAGCTTCTTATTAGAAATCAAACTTGATTATTTAATAATATTAGAAGTTTAGAACTTTGTAGAAACAAGCCCATGGGAAATAAATTGCAGCAGTAGCTTAAGAAATGGAGTTTGGCAGCATGTTACAACAAATTTTGAAAAGTCAAAGGTGGCTAGTAATGTATGGATATGACCCACGTGGATAATAAAGTGGCAGCAGCTTGAATTGCAAAGAAATGCTTAATTATTAAGAGAAGTGAGGCCGAAAAACAAAGTCAAAAAAGGCTGCAATAAAGGAAGAAAGTGACAGATTTTAAATTCTTCAATTAGTCGGTTTAATTAACTTTTATATATATATATATATATATATATATATGCGTATGATATATGAATGTAATACGAGAGAAAGAAAAATAATAATTAGTGAAAGTTTAGAAAATCAAGAATGAGAAATAGTTTAGCAAAGCTATTAGAGAGAGGTGAAGTTTAGTTTTGTAAATTAGACGCAATTAGTGTTGTAGTGTCGTTGTAGTATTGAGGTAATATTATTGTAAAGTATTTTGTCTCGTATCAATAATAGTTCGAGTTATAAATTATCCAGAGTTTCCAACACTTCTGGCCTTTATGATTCACATCTTGGTTGTTATAACTAATTTGCTCTCTTTTAACGTCCAAAGATTTGTGTGAATATTAGGTGAGTATTCAATCGAGTCGAGTAAAAAAAATATCAAGTTATTCGAGTTGACGAGTCATATTTTACAACTCGAACTTAACCTAAATTTTTTTCGAACGAGTCAAGTTTAGGAAATTCAAGTCGAGTTATTTGAATTTCTATACTAATTTTATTATAATTATTTATAGTATTATGACAATGGTCTGTTCTAATTTTTTGACTTTATCTAACCATATAATATATATATATATATATATATATTATTCTTTCAAATTATAATGTTATTTAATATAGCAAATAAAATCTAAAAGTATGAAATATATTCATAATATTATATTTTAAAGAAAGTATTTTGAGGGCAAAATATTGATGAGAGTATAAATGAGTCAAAGAATTGATGAGAAGAAAGAATTTACAAACAATTGTAGTCAAAAGATCAAATTGAGTAAAAACCAAAGTTAAGGGACTAAATAAAAAGAGAGTGCATCTTTAGTAAAAAAAAAAATAACAATTGAAGTTACATAGGTATTATATTATGACATATGAGCATGTGAGTTAAATTTGATAAAAAAAAAGAATTTAAAATAAATGACAAATTGAAGGAATAAGGAGATTATGAAAAATTGAAAGATAAAATTGAAAAATAAAAAATTGTTATAAAAAAGAGGAATTAAAAGTACACATGTATTCTACTATGATTTAGGAGTATGTGGTTCAAATTTGGTAAAAAAATAGATTTAAAATGAACGAGAAATTGAAGAAATAATAAAATCAGGGACTAAATCGTAAAATTATCAAAATATTAGTCAAATTTTTGGTTTTTTGAGTAACTCGAAAATTCAAAATTTCAACTCGAACTCAAGAACCGAATTTATAATTCGAGTTGACTTAAATAACTCGAAATTAAAAAAAATAATTTTTTGAATGGATTCGAATTTTACTCACCCTAATGAATATATTAACTTTTTTATAACGTGGGGTTACTTACCGTTAACATCACATACAAATTTTCAACTTTTTATACTTTTTTTTTTAATTAATAATAAAGTCTAGTTTGACTTTTCGGATGGACTCCACATGTATAAAGTCAATATGGACATGGACTCCACATGTATGAGGTTTTTTCTCCACATGTATGAGGTTTTTTTTTGTCACCCAATATTTTTTAAAAATTTCCAAAAGAATAATAAATTGGTTTCTACCTAATAAAATAAAATAAAATTCACATTAAAATTGACATGTACATGTTTAGATTTATATAAATAAAAATTAAGTTAAATTCGAGGTGAATAAATAATAATATATATTTTTAATTTTTAGTAATTTAATTTTTATTTTTGGTATTTTTATATTCAATTATTCTAAATACTATTATATTTTAAATTTAATTTTTTTTTATAAAAATCAAATAAACCCTTGAACTTTTAAAAAAATCAATTTGACACTTGAACTCAAAAAAAAAACCAATCAAGCCCATATGCCACACCATCAATCACGTTAACAACCACTGTGAACTGTCACGCTAGAACTATAGACTACCATGTTAACACCATAAAGTGTCGTATCAATATCGCAATATCAACGACAAAAAATGTTAAGTACAAAAATAATTCAAGGGTCAAATTATTTTTTAGAAGTACAAGAGCTCATATAAGTTTTTACCTTTTATATTTTATTTCTCTTGAGTTTATAGCGTAACATCCCAAGTATTGTGCTAATAGTTTCAAATAACCCGTTTGGGTTTAGAGTGGCTATGATAGACCTTCATGAAGAATTTGGGTTAAGTATAGTATGGGTTGGGCTTCATTTAGGCCCAAAAGATGATAAAAAGAGTATTTTAGATTGAGGCCAAAAGTTGAAAGACTAAAATGGTGAAATGGTAAAATAATGTTGATCTCCATTAAGTATGACGAGGTCATATGTTGGAAATGCATGCCTCTATGTCTTATTCTTCTTCTTCTTCTCTAAGTTTGTCAAAGGTTTTAACTTTGTTTTCCAACTTTTCTAGTCTAGATTTGTGAGGGTAAGAGTGATAATCTTCCCTCCTAGAGCTTTCTTTTAAGCTTTTGATCTCAAGGATTGGCCATAGTGGGGGGTTTAGAGGGGTTTAGGGTTTCAAGACATTTGGATGTCCTTAATCCATTTTTAAGGGTTGTGAATCATTTTTTCACCCCTTTTAAGTCTTTAATTGAGTTAGTAATTTGTTTCTTTTGCTTTTGATTAGTGAAAGAAGTTGGAGAGAGCACAAAAGGTAAGAACATGAAAAAAAAAACTAATGCTTAGTAACTTTGGGGGTGTTTTCCCAACAACTAGAAGCCAGGTAATACACTCTTAACTCGTCTATAATGTTTGTAATTCACCACATATAGATTGCTCATTTGTATGAGTAGATGAGTGTATAATGGGTCAAATTATATACTTGAAAATTATTAAAGAAATAAAGAACATGGGCTTTGAGTTTGTGGAAGGGAATGAAACAAGTGTGAAAGATCTCTGCAATTCTTCGTGGGTCCCAAAAAGTGAAGCACATCAGGAGGGAGGCCTAAGTCGAAAGCTAATTTTGATTCCAAGGTGCTGGTTGCTAATAAAAAGTAAGGGTTAAAGAGATGATTTATATTTGTGTTTTGTAAATTTTTAATCATTGATTTTAAAAAATATAAGATATGGTTAGTTTCACTTTTGTTTAATTAAGATGTGGTTACTCTGAATTAACTACCGTTAATAGCAGTTAATTATTTTGATATAATCACATATTTGGTCTTTGTTATTTATTTATTATCTCAATTTAGTCATACTTTTAATAAATTAAAATAAATTACATATTTTTAAATGAAAAAATAAATTATTTTTAAATTAAGTTAATACTAAAATATATTTAATAAGTTAATATAAAAATATTTTTAAATTAATATATAAAATTATATTATATATAATCCAGTTCACGGGTACCTGATTCATAACTTTTTTTTTACTTTTTTCTTTAAATTATATTATTTTTAAAAAAAATTATATATAAAATTATACAATTAACTTTTATATAATCCACACATAAATTTTAAAAATTCAAATTACATAATTAAAAAATTTACTAAAAATTAAAATAAAGAAATACAATTAAATTTTAAATGTTTTGAAGTTAAAATAGTATTTTAAAAAATAATTTAAAATCTTAATTTGAAACAATTTAAAAAATTAATAATTTAGAATGTTATGGTGTCAAAATTTAAGAAATTAGGATATTGGAATGTTATGCATTTTCTCGAAAAATCACCGGTAACCGATATATTTACCGATCTAACACCGGTTAGATTATATTTCCCGATCTAACACTCGTAGAAGTAATGCGCGCTCCTTGCCCCGCGCTATATACTGATTTGGCGTCACGTGGGGTATAGCGCCCCCTGTACCGCGCTATATGCTGACATGGCTTACACGTGGGTATAGCGCGCCCCCTGATCCGCGCTATAGTTGTTTATCTGAAACGTGGGGTATAGCGCGGTACAGGCGGCGCGCTATACCTTTAATTACCCCCCAATCCTCACTATAAATACTCAATCCTCTATTATTTTCATCACACCATATTCTCTCAAATACTCTCAAATACTCTCTCTGTTTAAGGTATATTTTATAATATTTTTAATATTATGTATTTAATTTATTTAAGCATTTTACTTTATTTAATATTTTACTAATATAATTTTTTTTACAGATATATAATGGAAGGCGGTTTACTTTGTTTGGATGGAAATCATATATCTCGACACTTTGCTGATACGGTAACATTTTTAAGTTTTAATTTAATTTAAATTATTTGTAATAATTTGTTGATTTATTTAATGCTGATAATGGAAGGCAGTATGCTTTCGAAGTCCACAATTGTCCCAGGATTCAACGTCCGCACCAGCCTAAACCAACCTGGAAGTTCGTTGTAAGATGCATCCCATTCGCCATGAAGTTTGACAATGGCATTTTGTTTTGCCAACTAAGCTTTTTTATAGGAGACAGTGTACCCATACTGCGATTGTATAGCTGAAATCAACACTGCAACAGCTATATGAGAGCTTGTTTTTACCATGGGCATGATGGCTTGGCATATCATTTCAGAGTCCAAGTTGGGATGATCTTGGTTGACCCCTCCAACACAACATGTGTGAGGACCGTTGTATACTGTTAGTTCCCATATGTTGCTTTTCCTCTTCATTTTCGATACGCGAATCATCCAATTGTATCCGTTTTCACGTCGGGCACAATAGCATACATATTTTTC